TGTGTAAGCGCCGCTGGAAATTAACGCGAAAGTTCTTGTTTCCTTATCGTCCGCCGTTGCGATTTAAAAGGCAAATTTAGCGCGCGACGAACTTCGTGAACGTAATTCGGTCGGTTATTCGGGGACGCGATAACGACGGAAAACTTATGGCGAACAATGTGGAACGGTCCTCCCTTGGTGTCCGGGAAACGGTATCGCTCTAAACGTAAATAGGAGGTATTTAGGGAGAAGTTTGCGCCGATCGGGGAACAGGATAACGGGGAGTCGACCGCTTCTCGCTTCTCGGGGTCCCTGTAAAATTTTATTCGATCCAAGTTTTGGTAGTTTCGCGGAAAGGACCGCGTCAGAGGGGAGAAAAGACGATTCGATTAATTGGATTCGACGGCGATAAAACATTTACTGCACCGGATAATCTACCGTTAACTATCTCCAGTTTCCAACTGGCTTCCAAATCTTTCGAGCGGCCATCTTGCGAGTCAGGAGCACCGCCATCTAGCGGAGGTCTCCACGAACCTCGAGTAACGCGCGAACAATATGACGATTCGAACGCGTTGAAAACGCGAAAAGGGTGCAGAGACGTCGTCTCGTTTGCAAGCTCGATCGCCATCGGCGCAATCCGTGCATACGTGGTTCGAGCAAACAACGCGAACCGCGACATGTTTCCCTCCCTCTCTTCCTGTCTCTCCGGTGCAGCTCACATTCCGTGGATGGCTCGACTCATTTTCCCGTACGTTATAATTAGTGGTCTAATGACTAGCACTCGTAAGGGCGACGGGTAATTAAAACAACTCTCCCCGCGCGCTGCTGGGTCTCTTTCCTCTTCCTCGCGCCCTCCTTCTTTCCGGGCCCTCGTTCTCCGCTCGTTCGTCAGCGAGCGCCCCAGAGAGGGAAACTTGCCAAGAATTTTAGTAGCCGCGATATTTCAATTAGCATCCGAGGCTCGTTTAAGCGGCAGTGAAAACGGCTGGTGCCAGGCCGGGCGCGCTTGTGTTGGCGTTACAGCAACAGCCCGGAGGAGCTGCCGCCAGAGGAGAAACGGGAGTTGCGTTTACATCGTCTGCAGCCCGGCGAGTTTATACAGCCCGCGTTTATGAGTCACGCGGAACGCGTACCCCGGTTTAGCCGTTTTCAACGTTGGACACCTTCCTCACCCCCCGGTACTTTGCTTCCTATTGCACCGAAGAATCGGGTTCTTCCGTTTCCGTGATCCTCTTTCTCTACCATGGGCCAACCGACAGTCCGTGTCCTACAATACGTGAGAAAAACGATGCTCTCGAGGTAGTTAGGTTATACGAAACAAAGAACTTGGTATTGTACGTCGTGAAAAACTAGCTTCTTCTGTTCAAAATGGTCTTCTGTTGGTCCAGAGATCAACTTTCGAGGGTCAAGTACAGAGAAAAGGTTAGTAAAGAGGATGCTTCGAGTATTATGTTTCTTGATGGTTGTGTCGATAGAGAATATTATAATTTCCTTGAACCATAGTTATCGTATTCATCCTTGGTATAATCTTACAAGATTCAGTCTTAGTTCGAAATGGAAAACAGCACTGCCCTGTTCGGATATATGGAAACCAGGCACAATATGGTTTCTTATAAATGGACACTGTCGTATTAAATATCGTTTAGATTAATGTAAACGAGTTTAAAGTAGACTTTACGTCTTCTACGAACTTCCCGCCATAATTAAATAAGGGTAGACAAGATGCATGGCCATTTAGGGAGGGACTATTGTACGTACTGCGCGTAGCTGGCAAGTTGGCAGTCGTCTAAGTCCAGAATTGCGTTTCTTAGACAGGAAAACTTATCAATGATAACAAATTTGGTTCCCGATGGTCCGGATTCTCCTCGCAAGAAGTTCAGCCTCGAAATAACGAACGTTACTCGCGGTAGTTGGAGCCAAGTAATTCTGTCGTTTAAATTATCGAATAAGTAAATCAATCATGAGCGCATGGTTTCTGTAACGTTAGTTAAGGATTCCAGACAGTCGAAAGCTTTCGCGTCGATCACGAATAGACTCCGCTCTACGATCGGACACTTCAATTAACGGAACATCTCGTAACGACAATAAAATCGTCGAATCGCCGATACCGCCGATTCCCTAAAACGGATTTATCGCGTCGTTAACGCAAATTAACCAACCCCAGCCGGGTACGCGTTCGATTATGCATTAACGGAATTATTATTCCCGATTATACGACGGCCTCGTTAAAGTTGGAGTCGATCAAAATTCGTAATCCAGATGGAACGCGAGCTCCGTTCGTGTAAAATTTAGTACAATTTGACGTGCAAGAGACACGGATAGATGCATCAAGTATTTAAATGTAGTCCGGAAACACATTGTTTAGCGTTCTCAGAGTTCACATAATGCAGTCATCGATCGAAATCGAATCGAGAACGGTTCGAAACAACTCGGATACGTTGGTGAGCTGTATCTTTGGGTACCTCAAAGGAATTCGTCTCGTTAAGCGCGTTGACGTTTGCGACTTTCTCTCGAAACGCGAAAAGACGATCCGTTTCTGTAACGTACGGTAACAAGCGACGAAAAATGAATCGTCTGCAACAACATCGTAACGGAGGAGATCGCGGAGCGAGCGTACCGAATCTGTTCAAAGCACTTCGAAAGCAGTTATTCGCCAAAAGAAGGTTACGTTGTCGGTCTGGTGGGGTTTCAAAGGAATTGTGTACTTTGAATTGCTTCCAAGAAACGAGACCATTAACTAGGACGTGTACTGTCGTCGACCGAGTAAATTAAGCGATGCCATCAAAGAGAAGCGTACGGGATTGATGAATCGCGAAGGTGTTGCTTTTCGCCAGGATAACGCGTACAAACTTGGTCGTACGAAAACAGTTGCAGGCTATGTGGGACGATTAAACATTACAATTGTTCTTGGACTTGTGATCAGTACATTTTAGCCAACTCGATGTCACGTGTATCGAACGCTGTTTCTAACCTTTCTATCGGGGTACAGTAGTCCCTCGCTTGATGACGAAAAATCTGGTTCGCTAGACGTCGATCGTAAAGGATTTTATTTGGAGTCTTTATATAGAATTCGACACTTTAAATATCTGGTATCGAAACTTTCAGAATTACTTTTGTTGTACCGTTGACAAGTTTTGTTTTTTAAATATCTCAGTGTATAAAGAAATGGACTTACACCAGTTTTAAAAATGCAATTCATTAGAAACAAGTCTTTTATAGCAAATAGCTTATTACAGTATACGAATACGAGCATATATCGGTATGTACACGCGTGGATTATGTTTGGCTCGATTTACGTGGGCTATTTTGTAAGCGATCGGTAGGTAAATTCGGGGTATGACCGTGCAATTTAAAAAACTGTTGAAGTTAGGTAACCGTACCTTATATTCGTGAGCGGATAGGGGCGAAAGGGGATCCGGGGCTCCGGGCCAACGATCGAGACTCGTCGTTCGTCACTTGTCCGGAACAGTTGGCGGTTTTCCGGGGGAGCCATGGGTGAGTCGACTTCTTGCTCGTAGAGGGAGCTTAATTTCCGGCCGAGGTGGCAGCAGATACAGGTAATGCCCGTCGGCACCGCTCGGGACGAAAATTGAGCCGAGCCTGGAGAAAGAGAGGCCACGTTACCGCCAATTCAGCGCGGATTTAATTTAATCCCCGTCAGTCTGTCCTAGCCCGAGGGGCGTCGTAAACACCCTCGACCGGTTATGCCGCACCTGCATCTGCACTCGTTTCCCTTTTAAGGGTGCGTTCAGCCAGCCCTTACATTATTTAACGATCCGACTTAGAACTACCCGGAGCGTGTTTCGCGGACAGAGGGACGCGCGTTTCGCCTTTCTCATTCGATACAGACTAGGTTTATTCGAACGACTTGGTCATTCCAATTTTATAATGAGCCACGGGCCTCGGATAATCCACTTTTTTTCTCTCGTTCGGAGATCCCGTGGTTTTCGGTCAAAATTAACACCGATTTCCGAAGGATACAATTTTCAATTGTATTAAATGAGAAGCGCCAAACAATACCAACATTCTTATTAGATACATCAGGAGAAAGCATACTCGTAATAGCTATTTTCTCGTGATTCGAAGTAAACATTCGTCCCATAATTTACGAGAATAAACTTCGTAACTTAGCAGGAGCAAACAAAATTTGCCGCATTATCTTCCAACACAGTTCAAACGTTCTTTCATTATTTTCTGAAAACCGAAACTTGCTCAAACTACATAATAAGAGAGGAAAAATGAATTTCATACAACAATCTCCGAGCTTTTTAACGGGCAAGTAATTCTAGAATGTCAACGTACCGAAGAACAGCGTCGAATAACATTTTAATGAAAAATTTAAAAAGTTTTGAGTCGATAAAGGCGTTTACTGTTTTTCATAAAACTTCGTAGTTTATTTAAAATATTGGTTCGAGTTTTTATTAAGAGCTTACGAAACGACCCGATATAGCGTTGCTTGGACGGTAGGCGCGCGAAAGTATATTTGTAATTGGCGGGAAAGGAACGAAACGCGTATTGGGGCGTTTTTGCCGAAATAGCAATTTCCACATAACGAGTTTACGGCCGTGTACGAGACCCGTGGTACTTACTTGCATGTAAAACATGCGAGGCGTGACAGAATTCCTCGCTACCCGTCGAATCCGGCTAAATATCCTATTATGCATAAGCGACGAGATTATTAAAGCTCATTATCGGTATTAATCAGTCTATCGGGCGATTTAAATGGAAATTGGAATTTGAATCGCCAATCGACGATCGAGTCGCGTACCGGTAATGGATAGCGCGATAGAGGGAGACAGTGGTCTCGATAAAACTTGAATTAAGTGACGCGCATTCGATGCGACTCGTGTCATGCTCGATGAATGATATTCCTCGAATACATCGAAAGAGGGTAGAGGTAGGGGTGGATGGGGAATGGGTAGGACAATCGTTATCCCCGTTCAATTACGCGAGCACGGATCGCCGATCGGGCATAAAGCGATTTACCGTTTAATAAGGATCGTTCTCCTTTCTGCTTTCAGACAGAGATAGCGAAGAGATTAAACGCCATAATTGCTCAGATCCTGCCGTTTCTCTCCCAGGAACATCAACAACAAGTCGCTACTGCTGTTGACAGAGCCAAACAAGTGACCATGACCGAACTCAACGCCATTATCGGGGTGAGTGCACGCCAATGGAAGATAAATTACTCTCTGCGACGTACACGCGCGTATATAACGCGCACCGTGACGCGTGTGTTTGCCGTCGAAACTGTCCGGAGGGCCATTATCGGAGTAACATTAAACAGTAAATTAAATATTAAACCCAGTTACCGCGCACAAAAAACAAATAACGCCCGGGGACGACGGGGATTCGCTCTCGTCGCGCGACCGAAATTGAACTATCCCGCTTTCTAATACGAAATCAATTTCCGTTATCGCGCGCACCGGCACGAATCGATATGGCGCGGAAGTGATTTGTGAATACCGAGGACACGGGGTGTTTTTTCTATTTTTTTTTGTTTCTCTTCTCTCTCTCTCTATTTTTCGAACGGTTGTTACGTTTCTCGCGCCCGGCGTTATCGAATCGATCGAACGGATAAATTTTCAAACTCGAAGAATAATCGGAGAACGAATCTGTACCTCGTTACGAGGGAGTGGTTTAACAAGGTAAGTTCAACAAAAAAATTTTACAGCGATCCCGCAATAAAAGAGGGACGCTCTTTGGATGCATGAACGAACAGAATTACACAAAGTTATGTTTAATTTTGCCATGCACCTTACGTTCTCCCTGCACATGCATCGTAAAACATTTGGTATATTTTGGGTTTCACAAAAAAAAAAAAAAAAAAAAAATTGTAAATTGTCTGTATCTCCGGAACGTTTACCGGGGCATTTTTTGATCCGTTTCTGCGTGCTCCGAGCGCTCTCCTAACTTCACCGACCCTTCCTTTATCCGCAGAGAGGGGTGTGGGAGAACGAGGAGGAAAAAAAATTCAATTCTCCTCGCGGTCCCGGCCGCAAAACCTTTTCGTCGAAAATTTACGGGCTAGCCCCGGTTCAGCTTCGGCGGAGAATGGCCGACGGAATACGTCCGGGGGCTGATTCGCGTTCAGTCCGGCGTGAAACGCATTCGCGGCGAATGAGAATCCCTGCGCGGTGGTAGGAGGAAGCCGATGCACGCCCGAGGAATCCGAAAGCGGACGGATGGATACGATCCTGGCGAATCCCGAATCCTCCTCAATATTGCTCGAGCACTCAATTTCCTCCCTATTAAGCCGCCGGCTTCTCTCCCGGCTCTCTCTTCCTCTTCCCATCGCGCTCATCCACCCCGCCTCCCTGATCTGCAACCCCTTCCCAACGATCACCCTCCCCCCCACCCACGACTAACCTCCCTCGTTGAATCTTATCCCGAGTCTTCCTGCCCAGTTTCCAAGCCGGATAGGTTATAGTGTTACGGCGCACGAGCACCGACTAATCAGCATTCCTGCTACCCAACTGCCTTCGACCTCCTTCACCCCCGGTCACCCCCTCGATTCCCTCCCTTCGAACCCCCGCCCCCCTCACTCCACCTACCCTTTCGCTTGCTCGGCGCTCCGCCTCAACCCCCCGACCATAGAAACTTCCACGGATCCGCGGCGTTGTCGGGCTACGTGCGGCAAATCCTTAGCAGAATCCCCGGATTCCGCGCGCTTTAAATCGCTCCCCGGGCTTCCCAACCCACTTCCGTCTCTCGCTGTCTTTCCTCGGTGATCTTAAATCCTTTCAGTCACCGCTGGGGGATCGAAAGAAAAACACGAACCGTTCTCCACCTCCTCCTCCACTCTCCCCCACCGCGAACTTCGCCGACGTTGTTTCGCGCGAACAACCGCCGATCGGAGACGCGAAATCGGCTGTCGCGACCCCGAGTATCCTCCGCTTCTTGTCGCCCCGGAGTTCGATACTTCGTGATCCGGGACCCGATACCGCCGACAGTATCAATCCGATGCTCGTTAATATCGATACGCGTCAATTATCGAGCCTTGTGTCGAACTATCCGACGGGTATCGGAGTAAGTTGTCACTGGTATCGGTAAGATGCATGTATTTCGTTATACTTCCTCCAGTGTACACGCTATTCAAACGTCGAGCATCGTCGAGGCCACGACGAGACGATGTAGCTGGTTTACTAGAAATTTTGTATATCGCCTGTCGTCGGTGTGTTTGAGAATGTTTGACGCGCGACTCTTTCGGAACGAAGGCTTCTTATATCTTTGTTCATATGTTCTTTACTGCCTAAGTGTTTTACGATTATCGACACAATTGCTACAAATGTCAGTCTACTACATTAGGGAAGCATACTCGAGTCAAATGTTATCAAACTTTGAGGAAATCTTCTTCAACGATGTTATTTCAAACTACATCCACAACGTCAAAGTTCAAAATTGCTGTCTTCGGGGAAACATTAGAAAAAAATTTGAGTAATTTAAAACCATGAACACTTGTATCAAACGCTGTCAAACTTCGTAGAGAATGAAGGCTACTTATATCTTTGTTTAAATATTCTTTACTCTCTAAGTGTTTTACGATTATCGACACAATTGCTACAAATGTCAGTCTACTACATTAGGGAAGCATACTCGAGTCAAATGTTATCAAACTTTGAGGAAATCTTCTTCAACGATGTTATTTCAAATTCAATGAAAACGTCAACATTCAAAATTGCTGTCTCCAGGAAAACATTAGAAAAGAATTTAAGTAATTTAAAACCATGAACACTCGTGTCAAACACAGTCAAGCTTCATCAATCCCACTTAAAATTATATCAGCAAGATTAAAATTGTTCTCTGCTAGCGATGAGGTTAATTTAACGATATACTCATTTACACAATCCATGGGAATTTCATTAATAATTATAGTAAAAAATTTTATTCCTAAACATTAAAAAATAATATGGTTTAATCATACGTAAAGATAGAAATACATTGTGTTAATTCTATTTTGAAATGTTAAATGATACAAATTCCCTGTTACGTTTAACAGATTCAGCATGAAAAATTCATCAGATTCCAATCTTGAAAAATAATTAATCGTATTTGACGTCAAGATTAATCGTCCGGCATTACCGTGGTTCGCTTTAATTCCGACGAGTCATGCATGTGAAAATGGATACGAAACTTAATAGAATCGATCGGTATCGGTACGATGGTCTTGCATTTCAATAAGTTCCAAAACAGTTTGAAGACGTTTCTTAGAAAGCGTCGATGCAGGAATAATAATTTCAAACGTAAATTTATCGATGGTATCAAAACACGTTTCGGTTCTGTCGCTACGTGAGCGTATTTCTGATACTTCAAAGGCGTGTCTGTATCTCCAAAGTGCAGGTTCCCGAATCGTTCGTGTCAGTGGTGTCACGTGTGGCTTTCTGTGGCTGCCATCTGCCACAGGTACGCAGGCTTTTGTTGATATTCGCGTGCTAATAAACGAAACGAACAATGAGAACAGAAGGAACGTAAGATATATTTTAGGTAGGAAACAGAAGCAACCAAAATGCGTCATACTTCCTGGACTACCCTAATACGTGGCAGACAGTGTTTGTACAGGGTTTTGTTTTCATATAAAAAAAAAACTATGCAGCATACAATTTAAATAATTTAAAATCACAAAATGTTTCATGAATTCTGTAAACTTAGCAATCAAACGGTTTCGTCTAATTTTTGTCTGGAGAATTTGGAAATTCCGAGCAGCTTAACGTCAGGACAAAGAATGGTTTTGAAGGTATTAATGTGTAACGAGGCACGGTCTCGTACGAAAGATTACGCGAGGAAGAATATAACGAGTCCGTGCGTTCAAAGGAAATGTTTAACGAGGAATCATCGCGAGACTGATTTCAGTTTCACCCTGAAGATAATTCACCAGAGACTCGGAACGAAGATTAAGCGACCGAACCCGGGGTTATTTCAATCTCTGAAATTTTTCCACTCCGGAACGGAGAATCTTTTGTGAGTAGCGACAAAGAGGAAGTCATTACGGTCCCCTTCATCTTCGCGCGAGCCATCTTACTGCACCTGCATCCACCAGCAGGCAGGGACTTGCCTCTCAGCAGTTTTCACTGGCGTCGCTACTTGCTGACTCAACCAGCCGTGAAGATAGTGCCGCTAAAAGATCCGAGGGAGATCGTCTTAACCTTCTTCTATATCACACGTCGTTGACGCCTGAAAAGCGTCGTCGGCTGGGCCGTTCGTGTAAGAGATTACGAACGTCAGCAACATCGACGCGATTCATGGCGAAAACGCATCCACGTATCGCTTGTAACTTTATAAATAGAATGGTTCGGAGCGTTTTTAGAATCCGCGAGTTACGCGTTTTGACTTACAAATTCGTTCGCGTTCAAGAAAGCAGGAAAGATCTTTTTTCGACGTCAACTTCGGATGTAAACATCGCGGTTGACGCGTTACGTAAATCCCTCTGACGCGTTTCTTGCGCGCATATTTTGAAATCTCTGCATTCACACGAAACAATTTTCTCGACTTGTCGGTTCCGTGGCAGGTAAGAAGTTCGAACGCATTATTCTCGTTTTATTCCATAAATATTCACGAGGCGGAACGAGCAATAGCGTAATAGCGAAAATAAAAACAGAACCCTGTCCAACGTAGCGTTCGAATTGCATGAATCTTCGTGTAACAAATGATCCCGCGAAGCGTTCCCGGGAACGAATTAACCGCGTAAATGGAGGACTCGCTGTAATTTGTCTGCGAATTCGTGCGAACGATGTTCCGCGTTAGGTGGACGAATGGAGTCACCACCTGCCGGGGAGAACAAATTCATCTCGATCATCGGCAGAAGCTCGGTCGCAAATACGAAAATGATATTCGTGAACGGGTCACGACGGCAGCCCGAGGTCAGGATTATTATCGTTACCTGGGTGCTTCCGCAGCCACCTCGAATCCACGAGAAACGGAGACTCGAGCACATTTCATTTCGGCACACACGGGCGAGCGCTCGCGATCCCTCTGTTTGTGTGTTTTGTGGGTGGCTCAGACAGTCGCTCGACGCAGGGTTATTATATCGTTAAACCATTTAATTATCTCGGCAAACTGCTCCGCGGAATATTCCGGGAACGGTTCTTAACGAGTGTACACCGGTTCCGAGGAGGCGATAGCACGGCTCTGCTTTTCCTCCTTTCGTCCCTTCCGTGTCTTCCGACGGAACACTTCCACCGACTCCCACCCCCTCTTTCTTCTTTCCCCTTTCTATCCCGTCTTCTCATTTTCTTTGCCGGATGTTCCCTGTCTCTCGACGTTGCCCTCGCCTTCTGTTCCTATTCCTATTCCTGTTCCTGTTCCTCGGCGTGCTCGCGTCTCGTGATCCGCCGAGCGTTAAAATGCTCGCTGCACGGGTCTACAATTTGTCTGGCAGCTGAAACTCGACCGACACCCCTGGTCTGGGCCAACTAACGAGGAAACTACTGCCGACGAGAGGAGGGTGTACTCGTTTAAGGTTTCCCCTAAACTTTTACCCGGGTACTCTCTGCGCCGGAAAGGCCGCGTGAGTCCCGCCACTTGTTTCGTACTTTCGGATTTACCTCCGCCAACGGAGCGTAGAGGGTTGTTTAAGCGCGGCCCGGAAGTTTACCCCGTGATTTGTATGCTTTGCCCGCGGAAAATTGCGTCCCACGTAACGAATGATGGGGAGGCGGACACGTTCCTTTCGGAATAGTCATATACCCCCAAGTGACTACCCTTCTCCAATCTTGCATCGTTTCTTCCATTTTGTTCGCGCGATAAGTAATGTTTTCGTTTCTAATCGTCGATGGTCGGTCGAGTGCTTGCGAGAGAGAAGGATTGAGCGTAGCCCTCTGTCGACGAGCACGAGAATCGTCGCTAGGTAACGGAGATTTCGAAGCAAAGATCACGAACTTCAGAAATGTAAATAATGAATATGTGTCTTCGGAATCACATGGTCAAGTTAAATCTCTGAAGATTATTTATTTAAAAACGTGGCAAAATACAGTCCGTTTGTAACAATATTTTAACGAAATCGTCTGGTTTCCAGAGATTCGTAAAATTATTTTCCCTTCCGACCCACTTTGCCTGGAATACAATACATCCCTGATCAAAATGGCGCTCGGACGCAGCAAACGGATAGAATTTTAGTCATGTGACGATCCCGCGGGCAGTATCATGCACATCCACTGTATCATTAGATTCAACGGACAATAGACCCGTCGTTTAAACGGAAACGATTAATCGTCTAACGAGTGGAAATAACGTTTATATTTGTCACATCGCGGGCAGAGCCACGGAATTATTTATTCACGGTGTGTGAAAATTACTTTGAAATTGTCCTATCGAAACCCCTCGTCCAATCGTCAACTATTTTTATCACCTACTCGCCGAGGAACGGAGCCAATTTTATCGATATCGGCCAGTTCATGATCAGTTTATCCAACGATTACGATAACAGCGGTTTGCGGGGGCGTGTCTCATCGTTGTCCAATGTCACTTGCTCTTCGATATAATCTCGCCACGGAGACTTATCCGACGTGTTGTCGGTTGTCGTTACGATTGGATTTCTGGACGTACTCGATTACATTGAAATCTCGGTACGCTCGTCGAATAGAAGCTAGTTGCCGCGTACCCGCAAAACTTTTCAACGCGGAGGCGAGCGAATTTCTAATCTCGTTTAGATTCTTAGCGATCGACTCGCGTATCTATTAGTGATCCACTTAGCCAGTAAAGACATAATCTGATAACTTTATTCGCGAGGAACTTATGATCTCTGCGTCTATAAACGTTCTTCCTGACGCGAAGCACAAGCTTTCCTTGCTCACAGTTTAGGGGATGCTTTGTGAAGCGGTAATAGTTGATTATCATGATTTGTTGCAGCAACAGAGGCCAGACTTGCCGAGGCTTCTCCAACAGATGCACGCTCTACCACCAGGTGCCGCGATAGGTCCTCATCCAGGTATTCCGGCACTTCCTGGACCTGGACTTCCTACCTCAGCCTCTGCAGCTCTTCTTGGATTAGGTATTCCACCGGGCGCGGCTGCCACCGCCGGAGGCACGGCTGCTCACCCTCTCCCAATGTTGACCAAGCCAGACCATCATCGGGGTCAGCCGGACGACTTGAAGCCGAACGGTGGTAAGTCGTGCTTTTGACTTTCTGTCAATTTGTATCAGATCGTTTCACAAGTCTTTCTGTCTTTTTTTCTTTTTTTTTTTTTTTTTGTTAATAAAATATGTATCCGTGATCGTGAAAACGACGAAGTCATTACGTACCTACAGTATGGCCATTTCCTGTCTCGTTATTTAGTATCGTTGATAGTATTACTGTTAATATCAGTATTATTATTGGTATTGATATTAGCATTTATATTGTTACCTTGTCTGGAATTATTTTATCACATTTGGAATGGTACTATTACTCTCTAAACCAGTGATTCCCAAACTGGGCGAATTCGCATTTGGTGTGGGTGGGACGAAATTTATTACCGTATTTATTTTTAATGGGGAATCGTGGGTTTTTTATATTTACAATATTATCTTTTCAATGCATCGTAATATTGTTTTTATAGATTGGTGTGCACTGGGGATCAATTTATGAAACCAAGGGGACGGTAGATCGAGAAAGTTTGGGAACCACTGGTCTTCACTGTTATTATTGTATACTGAAACTATTTTTGTGTCCTTAAGGGATATTGTCCCAGACCAATAAATATCTATGTATAAATATCTATCTCTAGATTGATTTATCGACACCCTTTTGATAGAAATCTGTTAGCTTACCATCAACAATTCGTTCGGTATTAATTTTCAATATATCGTAATCGTTAAAAATTATTGTAAACTGTGTTGGTAGTCCAATAGCTTGTGAAGCATGCTTACCTATAATAAATGCGAAAAGTACCAATTTTTAATTCAGAAATTTCCAACTTGCTTCGACAACTGGTCGAAGTTGGAATATAAAGAATCGATGATATTTGAAATATTTTTAAGCAAAGGTTCGAGTTCAATTTCCAATTTGCTTCGTGTACACCTTTCTTCGAGAAAAAAATATAGAAAACAGTTAATTAAAAATGTAGAATGCAGAACTATTCGGCGACTTGGAACAAGTAACGCGTAGTGGGAAACGGCGGTCGACGTTAGTCGCTGGCAAATACCTCTGGAAACGGTAACGAGAACCGCGAAATCCCACCTGCTTCGACACCGATACCAGAAGAACCGTGACACCGTACTCTGTACCGTGATACTGCCTCTCTTACCGAACGACGAGGGATTCGATTTACAAAAGTCGCTGATCTCGTGTCTCGTGCCGTTTTCGCGCCATCAGCATCTCGTTCGCGAATATTTCGCGTATCGGGCGAACCGAACAGCTTCTAGTTCGTAGAAGCGTGTGTCGCCCATTCCGTCGATCGCGTTTCCTGCAACCCGGTCGCTTGTTTTCCTACGGTCTTATCTGGTCGCTATGGGAAGCTGTTGCAATCGGATCCCCATGAGACGATTCGCTAGGCGTTACCTTGTATTCCATTCGATTCCTCGCAAACGAACAGCGCGTTCAGCAAACTCGTTACGGCGAAGTCGAACAACAAAATCGCTGGGCAAGCGTTCCGACGCTCGCTCGTCGACGATCCTCCGACGTGGCGGCAGGACGTCGATCGAAAGACGACACGTTAAGACGCTACGCATTTTTTATTAATAAGTCGGATATTCTTTCGTGCTCGATAATAATCAAATAAATGTCGTAAATGCGATAGTTTTCGCGCGATCGTATTGCTACTGTGGGTTCGCGAGAAGGTGGCTAGCGAGTCTGATTGGTTCCCCACTCTAGTTTAGAGTTTCGCCACGCCCTCTGCCGTCTCGCTAGCCAACTTCTCGCGGACGCACAGTAGATGAGAGGTCGCTAGGTGTTCAAGTATCGAAGATGATGTTAAGGTAAACGTAGTTTACAAGAAACCGTAAAAAAAGAGATTTTCGAAATGTTAAAGCCCACCTGGTTCTATTTAGACACTCGAATTTCTCTACACCGAAGGACCGTGTGATCTCTAAATAATGGAAATTGATTCGACGGTGGCTAGAGTCTCCAATTAGCGTAACAAAGCGCAGAGATTAATGTCGCCGGGTGGGAAACAATGGAGCGTTAAAAGAACTAATAAAGAAGATTCCCGTTGAGAAGGGTCCGTCGAGCCGTTCCGGCGAAAGGTAGGAAGAATATCGGGTGCAACGCGGAAGGCGTTGAGGGTCAGGGTGCAGGGAACCATCGCCATGGGGATATTTCAACCGCCCCGCAGTACGACGGTGACGCAAACGATCGTGCTTAAGCCTGAAACTCCCAGAACCCTCGATCTTGACCTCGAAGATCCACTTCTGCACCGGCGCGTCCTCGTCCCTCTCCTTGGTACGACATACGAGTGCAAGAACGTTCGCACTTAGGCTCCATGTAGCGCTGACAAAGTCGCGAGGGCTTCAAGTGACTCTCCTATCTCGCACACGTACACACGTATACACGGTCCCGTTCATCGTCTCATCCCTCGCCGTTTCGGCGAACGGTCTCGCTCTGCTTCGCGTCTACAGTGCAATCTGTCTCGCTCCCTCTCGCTTCCCTTCCTCTCTGGCGTGCATGGTCGTCTCTCAGGAGAGCACTCAGAATCTCCTCTTGACACGAGAGTACTTCCGACTCTACCCCCCTTTCGTTCCATCCACCTCTAGGTGGCTCTTCTAAACCTTCGCGCCCCTCGGCTTGTACCTCCCGTCCTATTCTCCGTACCCTCCGTCTCTCTCTACCTCCCTCGTCGTTTCGTCTTACTCTCTTCTTTCCCTCTTACGTTCCGCTTCCGCTCAGTGTCGTGCTCGCGCAATATCTCGAGCTGCACTCTCGCCTAACTATGTTACCGCGGGCCGAGTATAACCTCCGGCCAGTTGTTCCACGTTGTTCCGCGTTTTCCGAGCGTTCCCCGGGCTCCCCCTAATGAAATACCGACCGATCTTCGCTACCCAACAACCCAGACCTCTCAATTCTTCCTCGCGCCAGAGTGCCTCGACTTTTCGTCGCCTAGGCCCCTTTTAAAATTCCGCCCCCGTCGATCGTGGAACGTCCTCGACCACTCGGAGAGCTCTATGGCATTTGTCTCTTCGATTTCACCCTTTGCAATCCGAGATCCGTCGATGCGTACACCCCCGTCCACGAATTAACATCGCGAAGCTATGAAAACTCGTATCGCGTGTCGTGGATTGTATCACAAATTTTTTTTTTTCATTAATTAATTAACCATTCCAACCTTTTTGTAAGATCTAAAATTTGCTGTACAATTTTACTTGTAGCACGTTTATTTCAATTCCATACGAGCGTTGTAAAATTTATAGAAAAGTCAAAGTGACTTAAAAATTGTACCTGTACCTTAATTTGCATTTTCCAAGACCGCGATTTATGGACATTGGTGCACACTTTATTAAGCTACGTTACACATCGCGTACGGCTACTGACGTTCGTGTTTCCCAGTTCTTCGTCGAGAAAAAGTAAACGACGAACAACTCTGTATTTCCGATCCACGGTACCAAATTAGTCCCTTAATTTCCTGACTTGTTAACAGCGCGATCGACGCAACTTTTTTACTCGACTCGCTCGCCAACGTGCTCGGCTGGAATTCGTGTGTGAACGAGCAGGCTACTGATCCGAGTTAGCAGCCTTTTAATTGCGACGTTGGGAATTTATCCAGGCAACGGGTTTTCTTTTTAAGGCAGCCACGTTTCACCGATTGGACAGATGCTTTTATGCACGTTTGCTAAAACTATACATTATTAGGGAACGAGTGGAACGCAGCCCTAATTATGATCTACGGTCGTTAAAAGCGATACGAATCTCTTCGAGCCTGCTGTGCAATTGTAATATACGTGGAGTTTAAAATTATTTTTTCAAGACTTAAATAAATATCTCTATTGTTTACAACTTTATTAGTCCACTGATCCAAGAATCCCCCTTAAACCACTCATTGCCAAATCAAAACAGTACAGTGTTTTGCAAAAGTAAAATTTTTATTTTAGTAATCTACGTAACCTAAAATTCGTTTCAGTACTTATTTTTGTAACCTCGTTAATAATTCACAAATTCTATTCAAATTTAATTCCCTCGGCGTCTTAACTCGAGAATTAATTTTTCTAGTATCACTGTGGTAAATCCTTTCAATAGACTCGCGTCTCTTTCGCAAACAATTCTTCCGTTCGACGAGACCCCGGTTCGCCGGATGATCTCCGACCGCAAATTCGCGAACGACCGCGCGACATCCGAGATCACCGGTTCGAGGCAGTCTAGCGTTTTCAACCCCTCGGAACAACCCGGGGAACCTCGTCGACACCCTTTCGAAACGCGGGGGGCAAGGAGCCGTAACGGGCCACTATTTCTGTCGCGGCGACTGGAACTTCTTCCCTCCTTTCCGGAACATTGCCCCCGGCGAATTGTTTCCAAGCGTGGCCGTTATCGTTTGACTCTCCTCCCAGGATTTACTCGGACGGATTCACCCCCGTCGGACGTAATATCTGCCCCCGCGACGCTTCCTTTTCCACTCGTTCTCGAAACGATTCGCCGGGGCCCCCGAAGTAAGTCGGAGACGCGGTCTCTTTTACAGACGATTAGAAACCGGTATCGCTCGCATTACCATTTCATCGTGGATGCTCGCGCGAGCAATGGTCCCCCGGGACGATCGCGACTCTCTCGAGCGTGTACGCTTCTCGTAATTCTCTCGGATATTGTACTCGTTGTTGTTGTTTTCTTATATTCTTCCTCTCCGTCGTTCGTTCTCGTTTCTTTTACGACGTCCGAGGCAAGGAAGCGAGTTTGCTTTCCCGGCTATCGGGTCATTAAACCGAGCGTAACTTATTCCACGATCGCCGCATCGTTCACGCTCCTTCGCTCCTCTGTATTCCGGAAGCGTTCCGCGACCGTCCACTCGAACGACGATAAACTACATATACGTAATCGGCGCATAATTCGACGGGACAATGGCCGGCCCCGGGATCCGGTCGGATGCGCGCAAATTGAATTTCGTTTCGTCGATCCTGGACCTCGTCGCCAACCTTTCCACCGCGGTGCAGTAGTCCCTCGCTCGATGACGAAAAATCGGGCACGACGGACGTCCGTTCTGTTTCGAGTCGTTGATTAAATACAGGGTGTCCCGTAGCATATGGGACCCACTTCAGGACTACATTCTACGCTTGAAAATTTCAAAAATCATTGTTTTCGAGTTATGGCGAGTTGCTTCTTTAACACGCCGTATTTAAGATCATTTCCGGAATAATTATACTAACATACGACTCATCATCGCTTGACAACATAGTTGAATAGGACGTATGTTTATGTGAACTTTTTTATTGTTTTTATGAGTATAATCTAGTCTCGCATATCACCAGTTTTATTTAGAATTCGATACTTTGGATATCTGGTATCGAAACTTTCGGAATTAACTTCGTTACACCGTTTTTAATTTATTGTAAGACAACGTCAGCTTTTTCTCATTTATCACGAATCACCATAGGGTACGAATACAAGTGGTCGTCTTAATCGTCGGTTTTTGTCGGGGTTTTCTGGTCTCGTCTTAATGATCGCGAGCTCGTCGAAGGCGTCTCGTCGAGGATGCAGGACGCGTCCCGTCCTCCTGCGCGGCAAACGAGCTCTTTGCATTTTAGTAGGAAATTATGCGCGCTCTTCCGCGTCCGTTTACGAGCCGGAGCAGGAAGTTGCTGCGCGCGGAGGGGAGAGGTTAGAACCGTTCCCTGAGAAGAATAGAGGCGAGAAGGACGAATATTAGCGAGCTTGGCGAGAGCAAGACGAGTACCGGATACGGTCCGCGGCAGAAAATTCACGACCCTTCTGTTCGCGCGCCGCCACCCCACGACAAACCCAGCCGGTAATGGCTCGACGGAGTTCCTTTTGGCCATGCTCGACGAGCTTTTCCTTAATTTGGCGAACCATAAAACAACCGTGCGAGTCACCCCTGCCCGTAGGATATGTTTCATCGCGGCCGTCTAAATCGCGCGTGCTCCAGGAATTACTTCGTTTGTAAATGGCGCTACGGCGGCAAGGTTTACGGGCGATGAATTTCTTTTTTCTCGCTGCATAATCGGGGACTGTGGCTGGCTTCTCGGGCTTTCGCGCGCGCGCTCGAGGATTTCTCGTTGCGCGACGGGGTTAAATACTCCCCGGGGAGCTGCGTTAATTCATCGCTGTGAACGTTCGAGCGGTCGAATCGTCACGTTGGATCTTAATTATTTCTCAACCATTAACTGGGATTTAGGTACGGTTTCGTCGACAGAAATTGTAAATGTACGATCGGAAAGTTAATTTAAACAACGACGTAACATTCAAGAGAAACACTCCTTCTCGCGTTACGATAACGATTGCGAAACTTCTAGATCGATCTATTCCTTTTTACATCTGTTCCCACAAATATATTAAGACTTGTTTTAAGAAGAACTCGTATAACCTCGTAATAAGAGCACGAAGAATTTCCTGTATTAATGAAAGTTCTTCGATATCGTGTTATCAAATAATCCAATACTCCTGAATGAGTCTACTCATCGGAGGAACTGTAATTGAAAGCAGAAACTGGCAAGACACACGGCTATAGAAGCAGTCTGACGACAATGGCCAGCGTTAGGGATCGAAAGGAACCGAGAATAAACGTTAGCAACGCAGAAGCTTTACGGGTCGATAGTTGACAATTATTAAATCGAACATATAGCAGGTTGTTTGCCTATTATAAAAGTGTTCTACCGTGTTTACTACCGTGTAGCGCACCGTTTCGTCGGTTCTAATAGTTAATCCAGCGGTAAGAATGCGATCAGCAGTGGTGCGGTTTACGCGTTCGGGAGATCAGAAATGACTCGTGTAGCTCTTACGTAGGTCGGGTAATAACAGGAGGAAGAAGATATCGTTAGGATATTTCCTACGAGACAAAGTGTACCGACAAAAGGTCGGGAAAGGAGGAGATCGGGGGAAATCGAGCGAGGGAAAACTATGAACCCGGCTTCTCGAGGACAAAGCTTCTCGTTCAGGATCTTCTCCGACCTCCTCCTACCCTTTTTCCTTTCATTCACCGTCCCTTCTTGGAAATCCTCGGGAAGTCTAGCTCTTCTTCCGACCATCCCCCTTTCCAACCTCCGACGTTTTTTCTCCGTTTTATCTCGTTCCCCGCGCGGAAAAGATTCCGCCGGCATGCCGCTGACTCCGTTCGAGTTAGTTCCGCAATAATCATGAAAAACATTGTGAAGGTTCAATTTGCCGGGAAATACGGTGTCCTCTGCGTGAGGCAGCGTCGCTCCGAGTACCTCGAAGAAAACATTCGTACCGTGAATGCGGCGATTTGTCGACCGAGTCTGCCCGATCGTGACAATTAACGCGACTTCCAGGAGTTTCCTAAAAATTGAACTCGTACCGTACGACTTACTTTTATTGGAACTCGATAACCTCTTCTTTTCGTTGGTTCTTCGTGTTACTATCCGACTCCCTTCTTCCGCGTACAGGTTCTTTGCGTTCTTTATATTCTTGATTCTCAGTTTCGCTTCAGCATGGCAATAACGTGCACGAAATGTGTCATCCAATACCGAAATGTAATATTTCTATCTCCTTTTACACTTTGACTGCCACGTCACCCATATATGGGTGACAGAACTGTAATAATGAATTCTCAAGGTGAAATGTTAAAGAAAATAAATTTTAATAGGCTTTGTAAATTTTAATGAGGTTACGAAAGCAACTACTACGTCAACTTTTAAGTTTACAATTGCCTAAAATGAAAGTTTCGGTCCCGTAAACAATTTTAGGATTTTAGACTGGCAGTCAACGTGTTAATAGCCTCTGACAAAAGCGTACAGTAATCCCTCGCTAAGTTACTTAGAATTAAATCTGAAATATGACTATGTTTGCAGCCACGGATCAACGCTCGAAACTGACTTTATTTCGTATTGTTGCAGGTCTGAATCCCGCCGAGGAGAGGCATGTGAGTATCAAACAATTTAACCATTAGATAATAGATGTACAATCGCGGTTTCGCCAGTCGACAATCGATAACAGTCTATTAACAATGGATGCTATTGTCGCAACAGGGCGTTCGCGTGTTAAAAGGCGATATAGTTGCACGCGAGATACAGAATTGCCACGATCCGACGCGAAAACGACGAATTTCGACACCGAATGGGAAGCGCATCGAGATTCCGGCGAACTCCTTCTCGCCGGAGATTTGCTTCCAGGGAAGCTGCCGGATGCGTAGATACATGGAACGCGCGCGCAGGATGATGCTTAATCTGGAATATTATCCAGCTACCTCGATTTCCGCTCCGCGTTCACGGCTTAATCCACTCGTCTATCCTCGCGTGATACGCTAAATCCTCTTTCGCAAAGTTTTCAATAAACCTGCCGACAAACGATTCGATTGATCTCTGTTACGACATTTCGCGCGTCGACTAACCGCAGAGAACGACTCGAAGAAGATCTCGTATGTACGATAAAACCTCGATTAATGTTCCGTACGGTGCGTTTATGGAACTTAAAAGCGCTTTAACGGGGTCGTTTTAACTTTGCGCGAACAGGTGAAAATATAAACGTAAACAGAATTGCATTTAACTTTCTTTACGCGATATTATAGTACGGTAACTTGCACAGGATGAACCATTAGAATTTATTATTTAACCTTTGTACCCGTAACCGGATTTCTCATATTTCAAAAGCATGGACACCGGAGACTTCATTGTATAAATACAATTCGTGCCGTGTTTGGACTTTTTTTTCATCGATAACTATAAAAGAGACGGCAGAAACTTTTATTTTATTAATCGGATGATCTTTATCGATAAAATGTGAGAACAGATAATGCTCAACTCGATACGTTGGAAAAGCGGATATATTCAATATCCCAGCTATGCTCTGCCCTTTCTCCACGCTTCGTTTACATTTTTCAATTGCTTTATTCTTTGCTATTTTAATGCTATCTGAATATTCTGGATAATGGATGGATGGATTCTTTATCCCTGGAATTCAAAGGATATTCAGGACATTGACGTTTCACCAAGTTTTAGAAAAGCACGTCACATGGAAACAGCGTCGAATGTAATTTTCCTGTATTGGCAATCGTGTTTTTCTTTTGGCAAATTTGTTCCGTCCTTGATGGAATATCGAGCGTCTGCATCAAAGTTCGCTCGTATCGGCATCCGTTTGGCAGGTCTTGCTAACTTCCTCTGGCAGGAACTGCCTCGACATTCAAAGGATCGAACAAGGGGACATTTAATCCCATTGTATTTGAAAACGATCAAAGAATTATCGATAAAAGGGGTACTCTTTTTGAAATTTAAGCTCGACGGCGTATACACAAGTTTGACCGGGGCTCGTGAACAAAAGGGATTTTTCGTTTGGTTCCTTCTTGTCGGATCTACTCGCTTTATCCTACTGTTAGGGCCACCATTTTTAGAAAATTTCTAAAAGGTGCCAAATTAAAATTCTGTACTCGATACAGTTTTTTAGATGATTCTTTATGATGTGAAAATCGTCTTGAAGGGAAATTGAACAGCTGTGATAGAAAAATAACTCTGCCCGAGCATAAAACAGTGGTAAAGATAAAAGTATGGTTCTAGTTCCGGCTATAGACACGCTATAAAGAAAAGTTCAAAGATGTAATCAATAGGACTATTAGTGTCCCAGGTATACTTAGCTCCGTTCCGAGAAAAACGCGATTGAAGTTTGAACCTTGTTAATTATGCGTGCTCCCGTTGAATACCAAAGGATGGGAACAAATAAAACTGCATAATAGCGTAGCGAAACTACTAATATTTCAGACTCTCGGTAATAATGAAAAAGGGGAAAGGGAAAGAGAAAGAGTCCCAATCTGCAGAGAACACGCAAGGAGGTCGTTGGCTAAATTTCGCGATCGAGTACCAAAATGGACGCCGTCGTCCATCGCGGAGGATACACGCCGTGGATCGGTCGTAAAATCGTAGCGTTTCCCGGGCTTTATGGGTCACGTGACTCTCGAAAAGATCTCTCTCGCCTCCGGATCAGCGGGATCGAGCGACGGAATCGGGACGACGAGCACCGACCCGAGGAACGACTCGGTTTCGTCTCGTAAAAGAAATTAGAGCGTCGCCCGTGTGTGGCTTTCGCGCTAGAGAATATCGGGGGCCAGGAACGAATAAAACGGAACGTTCCGTTCGATCGAGGCTCGAAGGAACGAGACAGAGAGTGAGGAAAAAAAAACAGGGTGAAGTGGGCGAAAGATAGAAAAGGGTTCAGCGTACAAAAGGGGAAAGAGCGAAGAAAGAGAGGAGGATGGACGCCGCGGATCAGCCGGTGGAAGAGGAGGAAACCTGAAATGGACGTAAAAGCTCGAACACCGGAACACAGGGCCGTAAAAAGCTCGTCGTCAAATGCACCCCTGTTCTTCTCCGCCGTTATCCCCTGCCAACGTGTCTGCCCCTCTCTGTCCCGCCCTCTTTTTTCCCTTTCGCTCGCGCCCTTTACCCCACCTTTGATAGCATAAAGCGGCTGCTGGGCGCGGCGCGCGTTTATTAAAAGCGCTTCGGGCAGGCAAAAAAAGGCTCGAGAGACCGCTCGGGCCAGTGTTCCCGCGTTGCTTGTGATCTCGAGTGGCCCGCAGGATCGTTCCGCGATCGATCGCGGGGAAGAAGTTCGTTGCGCCGGGGATAAATCGATTTTGGAACTATCGCGCTGTCCGGATCGACGTGCCGCGGTACGACAATGGGGTGGCGAGAGAGAAGGGCGGCGAGGTCGGGGGTCGTTCTGGTCGATTCGCGCAACATCGACAATCTTTTGACAGCGGGAATGGAAGAAAAGCGGAATCGCCGGGGAATTTTCGCCCGAAACCGGATATACAGGGGATCGGGAATTTTTGACGTCCAATTAACGAGCTCCTTCTTCGGGAACGATAATTGGCTCGTAGTCGAGTAATTCGCTAATTTCGCGGTACTCTCGCCCGCTGGGACAAATTTCAAATGAATTTTATGGAAATAGTAGAAAATACGATATGCCCGGGTGCTCGATATCATAATTATAGAGCTACAAGATTAGACGTTAAAGGAAATAAATCTTGCTTCTGTCAAAATAAATTCTACGACAAATTGTGTGTATGCTAGTTTTCAGTTCTCTAAAAACAAAGTATCGTATCCGTGATCGATTTTTGTGGGGTTTGGTCTGGCATTCGCATTAACCAATAAATTCTTCGTTTATATTTTCGCGTTCCCGTTCCTCTTTGCCGCCAGCACATCATAATGAAATAAATATACAAGAGGGAGTAATTTGCATTAAAGTCTGTAAGCCTTACGAGTATAACGAGATCGAGCACGTTCCCCTTTTCAGCTAATTTCTGTATTCCATCCAATGACTAATACCTGATTTCACAATAATAAGCGTTGGAATGAAACCAAGTTTATAGAAGGAGACTAATAAAGCAAAACGATCGAAATTGAAATACATACATGTGGCATTCGCCCGTTTCCAACCGAGCCCCTCGTTCGAGGAAATATTTCGCCTCGTGTCCGTACAACGGACAGGTTAATATTCAATATTTGCTCTTTAATTTAGTTCCGACGAAATATTTATTTTTCGCTTTAATTAATGTCGCGGATAAATTAAGTTATCGTCGTTCCCAATTTCTTGTCGTGTAGTTCCATTGCGTAGCATACGCGAGACTGAAAATAACGCTTGGTAGAATATATTTTTTAAGTTAGACTTTATAAAATTACATAATCACTGTTCTTGACATGTATAATACATAGCAACAAAGTATACAAATTTTACAAATGCATAATATACTGATTAAATTTGAATACAATCCTTATTTTAAAATAGTGTTTACATATTTTATTATTCAAATACCTATTTCAAATACTATTTACAAATTTAAAGACCGACTCAGAGTTGGCAGAAGGTTGATGATCCGTGTACAATAATGATTCTTAAAATGAACACGCGATTCGTAAGTTGAACATCATCTCTATCCCCCTCAGAGTGAGCGAAGCACGCAAGACAACATTTAAAAAAACGTATAAAAATCCACTGGTGTTGAATTTCGTCCCCGTTGTACGAAAGATGAACGTGCCAGCTCCAGGGCGATATTCGTTTTAAGAATCGCCACCGATTGGTGGATTTGAAGAGAAATCCCCTCGAACGAGACGTTTCAGTGAAATAATAATGTTCGTGTTATTAATCGCGTGACGCGTTATTCAATCGCACGAATAAAATTCCCCCGGCGTCGGGACGGTCGATAACGATCATTAATTAATTCGTTGAGCGTTTTATAAAACTGGACCGGGATTGACTCGAACCAGTGTACCGAGAGGGACGCGGTGGCGATGGCTGTGCAGCCGTCGCGTTATATTCGGGCAGAGTGATTTCCAGCGTAATTATCTTTTCGCCATACCTCTTTTCCGCGCCGTCATTATGGGCCATGTTTTAACAGCGCACACACCCAGCATAACTTGCGCAATTTGCTGGCGGTGCCCGTGGCCCGCGGCCGGACCGATAATTAGCGTCCGTTTAATATGCACAATTATTACGGATTGATAATCGGGACTGCGCATCCATTACACCCCGCCATTGAGATAGATGGTAATAGGTTTCCATCGGTATTAGCCCTCTCTCCATTCGTGTTTCTCACTTGTTACGACCCGCCCTGTAACCCCGTCTCTCTCCAACTTTTGCGCTGTGCCTCTGTTGCGCGCGATCTCATTGGCTCGATCTGCTTTCATAATGTGTACCCGCCGGCTAGCGATGGGACTAATTCGATAGTCGTTTTCAAAATTTTCAATCGACGCAAGGATAGCGGGCTCGCATCGAAGAGAAGCTAGTTCGAAATTAACCCTTTGTCTGATCGTGCCAGGGTATATACTTTCGCCGATGTTGAACGTGCACGGGGAAATTCTGTGCAAGCTCGGTTGCCTGAAAAATCGATTTCGTCGATAGCAACGCTTTGGATAATTTTCGTGCAGTAGA